AGACTTGTCCTTCCAGCCACAGCTCGAGACCTCAAAATCACACTCGAACTCTTTCCCATAGCCTGCAGGCACACACACCAGCACACACAGGGATAGAAAGGGGTACAAGCAAAGAAGAAAACATCTGGACGGAACTAGACTGGACCCAAATGGAACGGATTGGACTGGTCTACACTTTTTACTAATTTAATTAAAATGGACATTGTTTACTTGGACTGGGTTAAACAGAACTGTCCTGGAATACACTATTAGTAGAGTAGAGAAGACTGGACCAAAATGGACAGTATTGTTCCACATGGTACTGTCGTTGAATCCCAGACTATAGCCATGCAACTCTTGGATCCCACTGTAATGGACTGTTTACTGAAGAAAAGATCCGCAGTGCTCTGCTATACAGCACCAACACATAACGGTGGAACAAAACCAATTAATGCCCCTCCTCATTTGTCCCCTTCCCTGCTCTGCACCAGTACTGAGCAGCGAGCTGTATAAGAGTGTTCGAGGAGTGTGGGGTGTGAGTGCAGGGACAGCGAGCTATTCAAGTGTGTTTGAGGTGAGTGCGGGGCCTGCTCACCACAGTCCAGCTCGTCACAGCAGTCTGCTGAGTCACACCTGAAGTCACAGCGCCCCTCCATGGGCGTCTGGCATGTGGTCCTGCCATCCTGGAGCATCAAGCCAATCACTGTGCGACACCAGATAACACATCAGCCAATCACAGCTGTCCGAAAGCATCTGACGAAGACACCTGGCACGTCCTCTGTGCTGTGCAGGAATAGGTAACTGCTTCACTTCCTGAACTGAAGGGGAAACTTCTGGGAGTCCGGATTTAGAGTCTGGAGCAGAATTCAGCCAAGACAACAGGGCCAACACTACCATGTCTCCAAACGTTAGAGTTATTCACTGGATTAGCAAGGTGGCAAAAACAGGAAATCGGCAATCTGAGGTTTTACCAGCCAGACAGACATGATCCATTAGAAAAATAATAAATGCATTTATTGCATTATCTCTTTCATCAGTACTGTTTATTTAAATCAGCCCCGCAACTGGCAAAACCAAGCTCCTTAGCAACAGGAGTCTCATGTTCTTCCCTGCTGCCCCCCCGTGTCTAAACTGCCCCCGACACGCCTGGCTGCCCCCGATACCCCTCAGAGCGTCACAGACAGGCTGACGGGACACTTTCCTAAAGGTTTATCAGTTGCCCTCGATCTCCAGCGTGTTTTATTGGAGATACGTGAAGTTTATGGGCTCAGAGTCCTCAGGTTCAGTGAAACACTCCACATGCTCAGAGCACATCCCACTGCCCGCCCTGGCATGCCATCCGATATCCGCGATCCCCAGATCGCCCGGCGCTACAGGTGCGGAGTCAGTAAACTACGTCTGCTGTCGTCTCTCACAGCGACAGTCACCTCTGCAGTAATAACCCCTGTGTTTACGCACAGGAGGGGACACCCCTGTGCTCAGCCTTTCTGCCCCAGCAGCCCCAGGCACACAAGCCAGGGGCAGGAGTGAGAACCCACTGCACAAGGCGGACACCAGAATTAACACCTTAACTCTTACCGGACTGTCAATCAGTGCAACAGAGATCACTTCTGCCTTCCCAGAGCGATGTGCCCTGATCACTCCCACCCCTGCTTCATAAACTGTTTTCACATTTTATTTTCCTGCACCCTGTATAAAGAACAGCAGCAAAAAAAAAAACTCTAGTTTTCAGTCTCCCAGGTTTGCAAACCCGAGAACAGGAAAAAGACTCCCAATGTGAGAAAGCAGAACTTGAGACCCCGGGACGTCCCATCCTGCTCCTTTATTCCAGCGCAGGACAACCCAAACCAGCTCGCTCCTGGCTGAACCAGACCAGTCTAACCAGGTGCTGCAGAAACTAGCAACCCTGCAGCACCCTGAGTGGACAGTCCAGTGGACACCCCTCCTGCCTCCTGCCTACCCACACTGCTGCAGAGATTTTAAAGGGCTTGTTTCTACAGAAGGAAAACTGAAAGAGGAGCAGGACTTTAGAAAACGCTTGAGCGAAGGCGACAAAGTCCCGGGAGGGTGAACAGCAGTCTGCCCAGCGGTCTGAACAACAGGAAAAGGTGAAAGGTCAGAAGCAGCGAGAGGCTGCACAGGTGTGAAACGCAGGCCAGTCCTGCAGCTGGAGCAGGACGAAGGGCTGGGTGCCAGGCCAGTCAATCTTACCCCTGTGTGTGGCGCACAGCAGCAGCAGGGAGAGCAGGAGCCCTCCACAGTCATGGGCGCCCCCCATTCTGAGGACCTGGAGCAGGACTGTCAGAGCACAGCGATCCTGAGCAATCCCGCACTCTCTCTCTGCTTCCTTTCTGTCCCTTCCGCTCTGCGCCTCTCCTTCTCAATGAACAGCCCTCCGATAACATCTGGACTTTAAAGCCATTGCCAGGGTTAATTAATACACACAGATAAGTGTAAACGCAGTCAGACCGGAGATGAAGTGCAATAATCTGGAATCCAGGTTGCTGATCAGTAGAAAAGCTCTGGGGTTATCTGTGGCTCTGGGGCTCACGTGACCTGCAGATCCAGCATGGCAGCAGGATTTTAGGGCTAAACCAACGGCCCCTTCCCAGGCGTTTCCGTGTTCCGTGTTAGATCAGAGTCACAGAGCTCCTCCCAGAAACACCAGATCCCCGCTCGCCCTCCCAAGGCTTAACAAGGCTATTGCACTGTTTTAAGCAACAGTTTTCTTTCATAGAACTTGCTAATCTCCCCACCACTACCAAGCGCGGTCAGAGTGAGGAGCTCATCAGTCCCCAGCAGCAGGGGAGAGAGAGTGGGAGTATCACATGAAGCCCGGGGGACACACACACTGCAGGTGAGAAGGCCCTTCTGTGCAGCTGGAGCTTGGAGCACCACCTCCGCCTGAGGCCCCAGACTGGCCGTGAGCCCACTGAGGACCCCCAGACACGGCGTGAGCCCACTGAGGACCCCCAGACTGGCCATGAGCCCACTGAGGACCCCCAGACACGGCGTGAGC